CCTCCTCCAACAGAGTAGCTTAGGTTTTTTATATTTTTAGTTATATTTGTAAATAACATTGTTTATTTTATAAAATTTTTGAGGTTTATTCTTGGTCTTCAGTTTTGGTTTCGACTTGCTGGTTTACTTTTAAGTAAATAACTTCGGATAAAATAGAGTAACTTTGTTTTGACCTCGAGCAAAGGAATTGACCTTGGATAAGAAGCGGACTTCAAATATAGAAATGAGTAAATCACTTCAAAAGTAAGTGTATTAAAATCATATCTCAACAAATGAGGTGACTGAATAAGTCCTAATAAAAGGACTGAATAAAGTTCATTAATGATGTGAAGTAATTGAGTTCAGACATAAATGGAATAACAATGAATATAAAAATGAGCCAAAGTTTACTAGAAAGAGATGCATTAAGGGTAAAATTTCTTTAAATTATTGACGTTCCAGACCCTGGGAACTCGGTTGCCTTCAGTGTCCCATAGGATATATGCACCTGGATGTGGCACTTCAGCAACAGTGTAGGGGCCTTCCCAGTTTGGTGCCAACTTGCCGAATCGAGTTTCGAACCCCGTCAGACCAGCTTTCCTGAGGACAAGGTCTCCTACTTTGAATGTTTGGGGTCGAACTCGTTTGTTGTAGAAGTTTGCTATTTTCTGCTTGTAGACTAGAGTTCGAAGTCGTGCTTCTTCTCTGAGGTCATCAAGCAGATCAAGGTTCTCCCGAAGCAGTTGTCCATTCCGTCCTTCATCGAAATGGGTGACTCTGAAGCTTGGAACTCCTATCTCAATAGGAATGACTACTTCGGTTCCAAAGGCCAGATGATATGGTGTTTCACCTATTTCAGTGGATTATAACTTTAGAATGCGCTTTACACGTTATGCATAGTTGTTCTAAGGTAAAACTGTAGCAGAAGAAGTAAAGCAATATAAAATTAACCGAATAGGCCCGATGTAGAGTAATACCTATGGCGGTTCGACTCGTAATTCTGTATGCCCAGAGGACGTTGTTGAGCTCGTCTACCCATTTGGCCTTGTGTTGTTCCAGCCTCGGCTTTATACCTTCTAAGATGCACTTGTTAACAGATTCGACCATGCCATTGGACTCTGGATGGTAAATCGAGGTGAACTGCAGTTTAATCCCGTAACTGGAACAGAAATCTCGAAAAGAGGTGCAGTTAAATTGAGTTCCATTATCAGCCACAATTTGATTCGGGATCCCATATCTGCAGATGATTGAGCTAAAAACAAAGTCTTCAACATTCTTGGAAGTAAGACTGGATAATGGCCAAGCTTCAACCCACTTTGTGAAGTAATCGACACCAACAATCAGGTGGGTTACACCACCAACCCCCTTCACGAATGGGCCCAAAAGATCCAATCCCCACTGAGCAAATGGCCATGGTGCTACCAGAGTAGTGAGTTCTTCTGCAGGCTGGTGAGTCAGGTGCGCAAAGAACTGGCATTTCAAACATCTCTGAACAAAGTGAGTGGCATCCTTGTACATGTTTGGCCAATAATAACCCTGTTTAAGGACTTTATGAGCCAAAGTTCGAGCACCCACGTGACTTCCGCAAACACCTTCATACACCTCCCTAAGTGCATATTCTGCTTCATATGGATTCAAGCACCGTAGAAGAGGTAAAGAGAAAGATCGCTTATAGAGGACCCCATCAAGAAGTGTATACCGAGATGCTTTCCTTCTCAACTTCATTGCCTCCTGCCTGTCCTCAGGTACTATCTCGTCTTGTAAGAAAGAGAGGATTGGGTCTTCCAGCTCGGTGTGCTTGGGTCGGTGCTGATCTCCATCACCCGTGGCTTCATGAAGCTTGGTTCATCTAAGACCTCCACAAAAACTGATTTGGAATGTGAAGAACTATTAGAGGCGAATTTAGAAAGTGAATCTGCCTGTTCGTTCGCAGTTCGGGGGATTTTGCTCAGACAAAATTTTTGGAATTTGCACTTCAGCTCGGCCACCAGAGCCACATATTTCACCATCATAGGATCAACAACTTCGCAGATTGAGTTAATTTGGTTCACCACCAGCTAGGAGTCACTATATACTTGGATCGTATTGAGCTTTAATTCCAATGCTAGCTGCAGACCAAGTAGCAGGGCCTCATACTCAGCCATGTTGTTTGTTGCATCGAAGTTAAATTTCAAAGCATGTTCACTTCGGCATCCGTCTAGGCCGATCAAGAGAGCACCAGCTCCTGAACCTTTGCTACTAGATGCCCATCAACATATAAGGTCCAGTCATTCGGCTCTAGAGTAGGAATGGAATTACCTAGAGTGCACTCTACAATGAAATCTGCCAGTGCCTGAGCTCGGATTGCAGATTTCTGCTGAAATGTTATCTCAAACTCCCCCAGTTCTACTGCCCACTTAATTAATCTTCCAAAACACTCAGGCTTTTGCAAAATCTGCCGAAGGGGTTGGTCTGTAAGAATAATGATCGGGTGCGACTGGAAATACGGCCTCAACTTTCTGGCTGAAGTGATGACTGCTAAAGCTGCTTTCTCAGCTATAGGATACCTCAGTTCGACTCCATGCAGCACACTACTGATATAATATATTGGTTTCTGCTGCTTAGCTTCTTCTCTTACCAGAACCGAACTAATGACTTCATCTGAAATTCCCAGATATAGATAGAGGATTTCTCCATCTTTGGCTTTAGTCAGTAGAGGTGGTGAGCTAAGGTAAGACTTCAG